AAAATTTCAACCAAAGAAAATAGGCTTTAAAAGCCAGAAATTTTCTTGCATTGAAAACTTAAAATCATGAAGTGGTTCTCAACCTTCCTAATGCCACAATGTATTTTCATTGTTAAAAAGGGGTCATGACCCACCGGTTGAGAACCGCTGTGTTAGTGGAAACGAAGTTTCCTCAAACTCTGCATATAACTTTTTTAAACAATAAGAAGAAATGTTCATTACTAGGGAATGTTTGGGGTCATTATCAATTTGTATAAAGACAGGTCTAGCATTAGGAGTATGCATTTGTAAGATAACTCTTTCTTTCTTTCTCCACCAGGGCTGTCACATGGTGACAGAGGAGCTTCATTCCATCACCTTTGAAACACAGATCTGCCTGTATGGCCTGACCATAGAGTTGGAGGTGGGTGTGGATAAAACACATGTTCCTGGAATATCCGCTATTTACTAATAACATTTGCAGGAATTGGTCAGCATTTGTAGATGAAAGCACAGTCTTTTCTAGGTATATTCCTATTTCATGATTTTTGTTTCAGTTATAAAAAAGCAATATGTCAAATTTCACAAAGTGGTTAACATACTATTCTGGTTAAGTATAAATAATAAAATCTCCTAGGTATTATGCACCTGATATATGTTAAGTAATTTGTTGGCCCAGGTTGCATTTTTGTTTGTTTTCTGGGATTTCCTGAGACATGTGGAAAGAAAAATAAGTATCCTTAAACCGTGTCATGTGCTGATATATTTTCTCTTGGTTTTTTGTAGTGATATATTTTCAAAAATTCAACCTTCCATAAAAATCTCTTGGAAGGTTTCTCTAGTGTAATAAACGAAGACAGATATTAGGAACACCACAGTACAGTGTTTGATCCTCTTGTAACAGTCACCAGTGAGCTCAAAGAAGGAATAAAGAAACACTGGGAATTGAATTGGGACGACTGAGTGAGCTCCTCAAAGGCAGGACTCCCTGTACCCTTTTTCAAACATGCTCACAAAGTTCCAGAGCCCTCACAAGTTGTTTTAGCGACCAGGGCAGCATGGGCATTAGTATGAGAGGAGTGAGACTGGCTTGAGATGGCCCTTTGGAGGAGAGAGTTGAGTGTAAGATCAGTATAAGCTAAGCCTACCTGTAATGACTGTATTTTTTTTTTTCTCAAACCAGACCAACTCATTGCCCGTGGTGATGATTTCCAATGTCAGTCAGTTACCTAACGCTTGGGCGTCCATCATTTGGTACAATGTGTCAACAAATGATTCCCAGGTACAGTCTATTCCTATCTCTACTTTATGAATTCAATTTTATTTTACTGTCAACAAAACCCATCTGCCTCAAAAAATGTGTATGTGCATGTACATGTGTGGGTGTGTGGTTTGTGGGTTGCTTTATTTCTAGTTGTATGATTCCTCTTCTGTAGTTCTTAAAGTAATATATTCTGATACATGTGGATCCTGAGGGCACTCTGGACAGCAAAAATGACAAATACATGTTTGTTACTCTGAGGGTCTGGTGGGCTCTCAACTATGTGTATCATAGAGAATTCTAAAGCCATCATCCTATGGCTCTGTTAACTAAGCTGTGGGTCAGCTTTTGGTCCCAGAATTTGATATCTGACCTCAAGTGTTTCTGGCCTCACGTGGTCCATGTAGTCTCCTCTACAGAGAATTTGTTTTCAGATAATTACTAGAATATTTGTCAGTCTTGCCTAACTATATTGTGACGGCACAAACATTCAGGTTGATTACAGATTGCATCCATCCTGGGCTCCAGCTGGGTTTCAATGCCATCTACTGGTTATTTGCAACACTTACCCAAAACTGGCCTCAAGTCGCATGCAAGCAGAGAATGGATGCTCTTCTGAGAGGAAGGAAGGGCGTGGCAGAGGTGATGAGTCAGCGCTTCCCTTTGCTCCCCTCTTACAAAACCTCAGTGTTGCCCTAGAAACCGCCGGGAGGTCTAGAGAAAATAGGTCAAATGTAAATAACAACATGTCTTTTTAATTCCAAGCAAATGTTCCCTCCAAAGGGAAGAATTATTTTTATTTTAGGCCCCAGCAGGAAGAACAAAGCCATAGTGAGTCAGTCCTATGTGTTTCCCTTTAATTCAATATTGCTAATAAGGAAACAACGGAGAAAACCATGCAGCCTATTCCCTCTCACCCTCAGGTGCCCTGGCATCTGAGACAGATCAACTTCGGAGAGGAAGGCTGCATGGGGTGCCCCCGCAAGCAGGGCTTACTGGAAAAGTTTCCTGGTCCTTATAGCTAAGAACAGCCAAGGTCCCTGAGATTAAATGCTGACCCCACTTACAAGCTTTGTTCAGCTTCTCTTCCAACTCCAGGGTGTAGGTGTGGTCATGGGAGACTTCGTCCTCCAGTCTAGGAGAGCAGCGCTGCCCTTAGCTTTCTTAGCCACCAAAGTCGTCACACTATCTCCAGATGAGAATCTGGATCTGGAGATATAGATCGTATACAGCTCCTAAAACACAGATTTCACAGCCTAGTTTCAGAACCAAGCTGAACAACTCACCTTGGTTTCTCTTCTTAATTCTATCCTGCTTCAAAAATCTAAGCTCTTAGGCCTTAGTGATACCCTTTGCTTTCTGGTGGTTTTTCAAAATTCAATTCTCAGGTTCGAAGAAAACCGCCTCCCTGGAATTCCTCCTCTTGTCGTCTAACCACTTGTGGAATGCTGTGTCATCTTTTTCCCTACCTTCTGAAATCTCTTGAAAAGGTCCTTTTTCTTGATTGATCTAAGCCTGGTTTAGCTCATGCTCACAGTGGCCTTCCCAGGTACCACGCTGGATCTCCCAATTCTTCCTCTATTCTTCTTAGGACACGTTTCTTGGCTTTCACATGTATCTATTCTCCTGTATTCTGAGACAAAGTCTTCTGTTCCACTGTCAGGACCCAGTTTCTAGCACAAACACCCTTGTCTGTAGTTGATCATACAAAACATTCTTCTATCTAGCTGGATGTGCATGACTGTATTCCCAGCTACTCAGGAGACTGAGGCAGGAAGATCACTAGAGTCCAGGAATTTGAGTCCAGCCTAGGCAACACAGCGAGACTTCATCTCTAAAAAAAATTTTTTTAATTCTCTTATCTAAAGCAAAATTAGAAAATAGTACTATACTATCCATCAGGCAGGAATAGGAGGTTAATCATAAATTTATTTTGTATCGTCACCTTCCTTAGTCTGGGACTTAATCATTTCTTGCACTTTGGGCTGATCTGTTTAGTCAAGGTAAAACTTGTGCCAACCCGTGATAAACCACTTAAATAACATATGAGTTTTGTTTAAGGTTAATATTCCAGAAAAGAGGATTGTCCAGTTATTTTCTGGACTATGTTAAGTACTGGCATGAATTGATAGATGGGGAAAAGCTAAAGAGATGCCAAGTGATTTAAGAAAGATGGAGCCCTTTATTATGCTAGATTCAGGATCAAGAAGCCCCTTAGAAAAAGACAAAATCTGTCTTAAAAAGAACAACAGAGATGAGACTATATTCTGTATTGTTAACTTAGGTTGACCTAAGGAATTTAAATATATATATGTACATATATATATTAAGGATAAATATTTAGGAATCCTACATATTGAATTATGGCATTTTCAGTGTGATTGACAAATGTAATCATCATCATAACTCTATTTCAGAACTTGGTTTTCTTTAATAATCCTCCATCTGCTACTTTGAGTCAACTTCTGGAAGTGATGAGCTGGCAGTTTTCATCGTATGTTGGTCGTGGCCTTAATTCAGACCAACTCAATATGCTGGCAGAGAAGCTTACAGGTGAGAGCTGTAAGAGCTGTGAGAGCTTACAGGGAGGATTTGCCTATTTTTGGCAAGTGTTTTAAAGAACCAAGATGACACACATATTAGTTCTAATAATATCAATGTTAATAATAACATCATCACAGTTTATTAAGTGCCTCCTAGATTGCCAGACACAGTGCTAAGCGCTAAATTATCTTTAATTCTCACTGAAGTTCTTCAAGGCCAACATTATTATAGATGAGAATACTGGAGTTCAGAGGTGAAGTGACCTTCCACAGCTTCGTGGCTAGTATACAGCAGTGCCCAGGGCGGGTCTTCCTGTCCATTCCACACACCAGCTGTAGGGTTTGGGCCATTTCCACTGAGTACGATGAGAAGCCTTAATGGTGACATGACCTTTCATGTTAATGCTCAGTTGACATTAACCAATGGGAAAATGACTGATTCCTTCCCCAGATCCACAGTGTGTCATAGAAATTAAAAACTACCCTGAGAATGCTTAGTTATATGCATTATCAAGAAAGTTTGTAGCTTCAGGATTTCTAAAGTTTGCAAAATGAGTCATTGGTACTACATATACCAGTTATAGCCTAAGCTTCTTCTGAAAGAATTTTAAGAGAGATATCTATTTTGACACATCTGAGGTGAACATGTTTAGCACCAAAAAAAGTTAAAATTGGATCAATCTCCATTTTTAGTTAAAGTAGAGCCAAAGATTCATTTGTACAGCAGAAGTGGAATCATATTATTTAAGCTTGATTCCCATGTGATGCAGAGATGCTGGCCACTGGTACCTGTTATCTGATCATTAGGTTTTTTTTTTTTATTTCCTTACTTATTTTTTATTTCTTTGCTTTTTGTTGTTGTTGTTGTTGTTGTTGTTGAAACAGAGTCCCACCCTATGCTCTTGAGCAGAGTACCGTGGCGTCATAGCTCACTGCAACCTCAGACTCTAGCTGTGGGCATCCTGCTGCCTCAGCCTCTGGAAGCTGCTGGGATTACAGGTGTTCTCCACAGTGCCCAGCTGGGTTTTTCCATTTTTTTTTTCATGAGTCAGGGTCTCAGTCTTGCTCAGGCGAGTCACGAACTCCTGAGTTCAAGCAATTCTTCCTCCTTAGCCTCTCACAGTGCTGGGATTACAGGTGTGAGCCACTGTACCCAGCTGATCATTGGGTTTTTTAATAAATCAAGACTTTGGGCAATATTACAAAATTTACTTAATGTAACTATGTTCTTGATCCTTAATTTATAAGAAGCAGTAGTAGGCATTCAATAAATATTTGCTAATGAGTGGCTTTTAAATATGTAATATGGAAGCAACCATACCTTTTCAAATCTTTATCAAATTATTCTTTTCAGTATAAGATCCTTAAAAAATTAGGTAGAAGCTCTTTTACTGTACCCTTTTACTGTTCTAGATCAAAATAGCCAACGGCTGCTTATTGCTAATAGATTTCTAGTCCATTCTTTCATCTGAATAGGCAAAGTTACTAGTAATCTGCCTATACCTAACTTATACAGATTGATTTTATAATGTTTATTCACCAACAATAGGCTGCTCTTACTTCTTTATATGGGCCATGCTCACGTCAACCACACCTCATCCTCGTCCTATGTTATTCTTGCTCCCTGGAGTGGACTCCTTCCTCTCTGGAGTTCATATCCCCCCCATTCAGGGAGACCAAGTTCTAGGCATCCACCCATGCCTACAGCCATTGTTAACTCCCTCATCAAAAACCTTTCTTAGATAATAAGTTTCTTAGGCACAGGATGATTATTTGTACTGTACCTGGCACTCTGTACACTGTAAATCTATAGAAGGTGCTTAAGAAATACCTGAAGGGGAGATCTAAACTGAGTATCAAATTGAAGGATCTCATTATCGAATTAAAAACTTTCATTCTTTTCTTTCATTTTAGTCCAGTCTAGCTACAGTGATGGTCACCTCACCTGGGCCAAGTTCTGCAAGGTAAAGAAAGGGAAGGGGAGCACCATTTAGAGTTTTGTTGCTGTTGTTGTTATAATACATTCTTTTTTTGTTTGTTTTGTTTTAGAGGCAGAGTCTCCCCCTGTTGCCCTGGTAGAGTGCCATGGCATCATCATATGATCCTCTTGCCTCAACCTCCCCAGTACATGGGACTATAGGCACCTGCCACAATGTCTAGCAAGTTGTTTTTTGTTTTGTTTTGTTTTTTCTTTTTAGTAGAGACAGAGTCTCACTCTTGCTCAAGGAGCTAGCCTTGAACCCCAGAGCTCAAGGAATCCACCTGCCTTGGCTTCGCAGAGTAATAAGATTATAGTTGTGAGCCACCATGCCCCTTTCTAGGCCTCCATATCATTACTTGAAGTTTTGAAGATTTCCTGGATAAGGATATTTTTTAAAAGAAACTAATGTGTTGTCCAGTTTACAGATAATATTTTATTAAAAAATGGAACTTGAATTATTATACTGACATTACTACTTAAATGATTATTGCCCCAATGTGTATTCCAACAGGAACACTTACCCGGTAAATCATTTACGTTTTGGACATGGCTTGAAGCGATATTGGATCTAATTAAGAAACACATTCTTCCCCTTTGGATTGATGGGTGAGTTACAGGCTATATTTTCCATAGAGTTAATTAAGTAGTTTTTTTATTCCCCTGTTGTTATTGGGGTTTTTTTCCCCTTTCTTTTGCCTTTTCTTTTAAGCATGTTTACTGCCATGGGGCAGGATGGGGGGTGGGGGGGCAGGGAATAGTTTTAACTTCTCACATTCTTCACAGAATATCAATATGCATATTAATCTGCATACAAGTGAGTACTTCAGGTACAATTGACTTTCACTTATACTCAAAACAAACTTCAGTTCTATTCTTTGTGAATGCAATAAATGCAAATGCAATAATGATCAGATAAAACTATGTGCTGTTCTATTTTTAGGTATGTCATGGGCTTTGTTAGCAAAGAGAAGGAACGGCTCTTGCTAAAGGATAAAATGCCTGGAACCTTCTTACTAAGGTTCAGTGAAAGCCATCTTGGAGGAATAACTTTCACCTGGGTGGATCATTCTGAAAACGGTATACCTACTACTGTTTGTTTTTTAATTTTTAGGATATAAAAATATAAGTTTAAGGCAGCACCTGTTGGCTCAGTGGGTGGGCACTGGCCCCATATACCGAGGGTGGTGGGTTCAAACCCGGCTCTGGCCAAACTGCAGCAAAAAAATAGCCAGGCATTGTGGCAGGTGCCTGTAGTCCCAGCTATTCGGGAGGCTGAGGCAAGAGAATCGCCTAAGCCTGGGAGTTGGAGGTTGCTGTGAGCTGTGACGCCACAGTACTCTACAGAGGGCAAGAAAGTGAGACTCTGTCTCTAAAATATATATATGTGTGTTTATTTTATATTGGAAAGAGGGAAGAGAGTTGGGGGAAGAGATGAGAGAGTGAGAGGGGAAGAAGGGGAGAACACACTATTGTTTATTCATGTACATTTAGTTTTGGGGGGTTGGTATTCAGATCTCAGTTTTCAAAAGTGTGTGTGTTGTTGTTCTGTTTACCATTTGTTCTGTGTGTCTGAACATTATTGTTGCATTTGTCCCTGAATATGGCACCCATGATTTCTAAAAGCCTGGGAAGTCACTCTTCTCTCACACACTCAGTGTACTGCTCAGAATGCAGAAGGTCTGACGTGGTTTTATAACCAACCAGTGACATGAAGACAATGTGGTTGGGAAGAACGATCACAGAGACTGTCTGCAGAAGCCAGTATATCCTCCGATTTGTTTGTTTGTTTTCAAGGAGAAGTGAGATTCCACTCTGTGGAGCCCTACAATAAAGGCCGGTTGTCTGCTCTGCCATTCGCTGACATCCTCAGAGACTACAAGGTTATTATGTCTGAAAACATTCCGGAAAACCCTCTGAAGTACCTATATCCTGACATTCCCAAAGACAAAGCCTTTGGTAAACACTACAGCTCCCAGCCATGCGAAGGTTAGATTCCTCATGTTTGCTTTTTTCTTACAATTTTGGAAAATAACCTGACCTTTGAAGATTTACCGGGTTTATAGAGGTCAAAGCCTTAGAAATGAAGTGATGTGTTGGCATTTCTGCCCAGGGTCCACCTGCTGTCCAGCAGTGGCAGAGTGGGAAGCATTAGCTACAGCTACACTTCACCGTGGCCATGGTTTTCTCCTTCAAAAATAAGAGTGGTGCTGACTTCATGTCTATGACTAGGGGAAAGAGAAGAAAAGGGCAGATAATGATTAGACGCTTTTAAAAGAAAGGCATAGGAACCCCATAATTATAAAATTTGTAACTATCATACATTTTATAAATATAAAATGTACAATTATTGTTAAGGTTTTATATACGTATATGTGTGTATATATATATATATATATATATATACTTTTTGGGTTTTTCTGAGGCAGAGTTTCACTATGTCACCTTCAGTAGAGTGCTGTAGCATCACAGCTCACAGCAACCTCAAACTCTTGGGCTTAAGCGAAGCTCTTGCCTCAGCCTCCCAAGAAGCTGGGACTACAGGTGCCCACCACAGCACCTGGCTATTTTTTGTTTCAGTTGTCATTGTCATTTAGCTGGCCTGGGCTGGGTTTGAACCCACCAGCTTTGGTATACGTGGCTGGCACCATAACCACTGAGCTACGAGCGCCAAGCCTGTTTTATATTTTTAACCTTACTTTAGTCCTACAACTCAGAGAGTTTGTTCATTTACCCAGGAGGTGACTTGGGCATCTGTACTGCACTCCCCTCAACCTCCAGCCTGCTTTTCCCTAAGGGCCTAGAACAGTATGTCACCAAAACAGGCATTTGGGAAATGTTTGTTAAATACATAAAAGAAAATTCATGAAATTGCTATATAATTATAAGGTGAGTTCACCATTCTGTTTCTTTAATGAAGTATATACAATCCATAAGAGTCTTCATCTTTAGCAACGAAGTATCTGGGCACTCTCTTTTAGAACATCTTTCAGGCTCGGCGCCTGTGGCTCAAGTGGCTAAGGCGCCAGCCACATACACCTAAGGTGGCAGGTTTGAATCCAGCCCAGGCCCTCCAAAACAACAATGACATCTGCAACCAAAAAAAAAAAAAAATAGCCAGGCGTTGTGGTGGGTGCCTGTGGTCCCAGCTACTTGGGAGGCTGAGGCAGGAGACTCGCTTGAGCCCAGGAGTTGGAGGTTGCTGTGAGCTGTGATGCCATGGCACTCTACCCAGGGGGGATAGCTTGAGGCTCTGTCTCAAAAAAAAAAAACACCTTTCAGTTGTCATTAACAAATGTTAACTTGCTGCCCCCCATCTCTGAAACAAACAAAAGGACAAAAGGAAAGGAAAAACCTCTGTGGCCTTTAAGTGACTTTCCCCATCTGACTGAATGAAGTAACAAATGTCAATGCAACAAATTATGCTTGGGAAATTGGATCAAATACTGGTCAACTTGTGCAAAATTTACCGCTGTACTGTAGTTAATAGTAATGTGCGAATCTCACTTTGGAAACATTCCTCACATTTCTCTGGGGAACTCTGATGTCTATGCCTCAGAAATTTTATAATCCTAAGGTTCTAATTGGTATCAGTTTTACTGAAAAGAAAGAAGTTATTATTTATCTTCCAATACATGGCTAAATCAGTCCTTAGAATCAAATTTAAATGCAACACAGAAGACAGGTGTATGCTTTATTTTCTATTTTTCCTACACATGTTAGAGGCATTCATATTTAAAGTCAGACTAAGCCTGCCAAGAGATTTGCTTTTTTCAACTTGCATATTTGTTTTTGCTTATCTAAAAGACTGTTTTCCTCTATTCGGTTAAACATCTTTGTGAATCCCAAACAACTGTATTATCCTCTTCTTTTTAGCATGGCTGATATTTTTCTAGACTTTTCCCAGTTTTATCAGTAATATTGATAACATTTTTTTCCAACATTATGCCTTTCTTTTCTAGTTTCGAGACCGACAGAAAGGGGAGACAAAGGTTACGTTCCTTCAGTTTTTATCCCCATCTCAACCATGTGAGTAATCTTAGCCACATGTAAAATGTTTATTATTTAGGTTTTTTTTTCCAAAAAGCTTTCCTGTAGGAGACTTAAGGGTAAAGCAAAATACATACCACTGAGAATACAGCATTTTAATGCTCAAGGTCCCATTTCCTATAATACATTAAGCTCATCTCTGTAAGCTCATCACTTACACTATCTGTTATGACTGGAATTATAAAGGTGCCCTTTTGTATGCCATCTATTGCACAGTGGGTTGACCGCCCCAAGTTAATTAGACAGTTCAGTGTCAATAAACGAAGCCCTAGAAATGAGCTCCTGATACAGTAAGTCACCATGGGCTATTAATTTCTAATCCTTTTCGATATTTTCCTCTTTTAGCCGAAGTGATTCATGTGAGCCACATTCTCCGTCAGACCTTCTTCCCATGTCTCCAAGTGTATATGCAGTGCTGAGAGAAAACCTGAGTCCCACAACAATTGAAACTGCAGTACGTTCCCTTTCTTTTCCACTGTGGGTCAAGGGCACGTCCAATGAAGCAAAGGCGGTGTTAGAATCAAAGGGGCTGGAGTACTGCCTGGGTAGGGATAAAGCGTGTTTACTGGAACAATTCATGAACAGAACACAGGGGGTGTCTGTATGGTCCTGTGTGCTGCTCATGCTGTGGGCACTGCAGGCAGACACCTGTTTACTCGAACTGCTGTCAGTTCCTTCCATCAAAACCAGCAGAGGGCAAAGACTTCCCATACCCATCAGCAACACTGTCCCTGCTTCCACCACGGCCCCTCACTCCCCACCACTCTCTCCACTTCAGCAAACAACATTTAGCAGTCAATATTTACAAACTTCATTTAATATCTATTTAACCGTTCAAGCACCACAGATTCTAATTTTTCTTATTACTTGCACTACTAGAATCTGGAGTCTCTCCAAGTAGTATATAAATAACAATCAATAGCAGCATGATAGTCTTTTTTTATTTTTTTGAGACAAGTTCTCCCTCTATCACCCCAACTATAGAGTGCAGTGGCATCATCATAGCTCGCAGCAACTTTAAATTCCTGGGCTCAAGTGATCCTTTCACCCCAGCTTCCCTGGTAGCTAGGACTACAGGTGTGAGCCACTACATCCAGCTAATTTTTGTAATTTTATAGAGATGGGGTCTTGCTCAGGCTGGTCTTAAACTCCTGACTGCAAGCAATCCTCCTGCCTTGGCCTCCCAAAGTGTTGGGATTATAGGCATGAGCCACTGTGCCTGGCCAAAATCTTTCATGTAATGTTATTTAGATTCTTGTCCTCCAATACCATCAAGAGGGTCAAACCTCCATTTATATGAAACTGAGCATACATAAGAGTAACAGAAACCTAGAAGGTCCCTAAGCCCCCAAATATTTCTATGTGGCTATAAATCAAATGGATTTTAGTCCTTCTCTTAAAGATTTCCAGGGATAGAAAATCCATACTCTCCTTTTGAGGACTTATTCCAATGTTAATTGCCCTGAAATCCTTAAGTTATTTGTATCAAGCTGAACTTCTGCTACATTTTGCACCCATTTCCTCATTATGTTTTTGTTAGGATGAATAGTACTTTTTCTTAAAACACTTCTTTATCCACTTGGAAGTTGCCTTTTATTTTAGACTGGTCTACTCCTAATTACCTTTGTAAATACCTAATAATTGATAGATTGTGGAGAAATTTAGTAGATAAGAGGATATTTATCTATCCAAGAAATAATGATTTATTTACAAAATAAGATTTTCCTCAAAGATCATTTTCATTTTCAATTTTAGATGAAGTCTCCATATTCTGCTGAATGACAGGATAAACTCTGACACCCCAAAGAAGGAAACAGATGAAAAAGTTTAAAGACTAGTCTTTGCCAAGGACAGTATCTAATTTCTTCAGCTTTGTAAATACAGGTTTCCGGGAAATGGTTGAAATCTGAAGCTCTCTTCTCATTGGCCTGGTACCCAGCACTCCCACCCACCCCAATTGGGAGTATTGTAATTAAGATGCTAAAAACTAAAGCTTCAGAACAACTTTCTAAATAAGACAACTTTGAGAAACCAGCGTTAATAACAATATTAACAGAAGATTTATGTGGATCTGTTTGTTTTATTTCTGATTGTATTTCTCTGGTGTTATTTATGATTTTGGCTCTAGAAGGTATAAGTGTATAAGGTATAAAGCCTAAGGAAAGAGCCCTCTAAGCCAATCAATGTGGTGAGTCCTAGCAGGTAAGAGTGGTCACAGTAGGTCTCAGGTGGAAGTAATGGTGGGGCATTAACAGCAGCAATTAACAGGGTATGCAGAGTTGAATTAAGAAGCCTCTTCATTGCTGTGTCAACATGGTCTCATCTGAGACTCAAGGCAAGTTCCTTCTGGCTATGAATTACTAACCTCCAATATACAATGTTTGTACAGGCAGTGGGCAAACATTTCAATTGCAAAAGGGAATTGGTCAAAAGAAAGGGGTAGCAGTCTTCACACAATTCTAAAACCTGGAAGGACATACTTTCAATCTTAAAGCTCCAAAATAATCCTTGACTCCTTGTAGCACATCCTGGGCACCCTGGTATGAAGGGTAGGTCCCCAAGGGCTGGGGCAGCCCTATCCTGATGGCTTTTCTGGGCATAGCCCATGTTGCTGATCTCAAAGGATTTCTCTGGCTTTTCCAGGCCAAGGATGAACACTGTTGGTGACTGTAATTCTTGGGTCCCCACGGCAGCCCCACTCTTAGACACTGCCCTGGTGGTGACTCTCTGTGGCAGCTCTGTCTCTGCAGCAGACTTTTCCCTGGGCACCTGAGCTTCCCCATATAACCTCTGAAATCTAGGTGGAAGTTACCAGGTGGATGCCCTCTGGCGCTGTGGCCTTAGTTGTACCTGGGGCCACTGGGATCATCTGAGCTTCAGGTGCTCCTGCTGGAGTGGCTGGGACTTGAGAAGCAGCACCCTGAGGTGGCACAGGGCAGTGGGGACCCAGGCCTCTGCCCACAAACTATTCTGTCTTCCTAGGCCTCTGGGACTCAAGGATGCTCTAGAGAGAGCAGTCTCAAAGATTTCTGCAGTGCCTTTGGGGCCTTTATCCCACTGTCTTGACTGTTAGCACCAGGCTCCCTTTTAGTTATCCAAGGGGTTGCTCCACAGCCGCATTAGATTCCTTATACCCTTAGATTCCTTGCCTTAAAATGCTATTTCCTTCCCTACCACATGACCAGGCTGTAAATTTTCCAAATTTTTATATCCTCCTTTCCTTTTAATTATAAATCCCATGTTTAGATCATTCCTTTGCTTCCATAATTCAGCATAAGCTGTTAAAAATAGCCACATCACTTCCTGAGTACTTTTCTGCTTAGAAATTTCTTCCACCTGATACCCTCAATCATCACACTTAAGTTCAGTCTTCCCACAAAGCCCCAGGAAAGGAGCACAACGCAGCCAAGTTCTCTGCTACAGAGTAACAAGGGTGAAGTTTGCTGTTTGCTTTAGTTCCTAGTCAGTTCCTCATTTCCATCTGAGACTTTATTAGGCTCCACTTTAGCCTTTACTGTCTATATGTCTGTCAGCACTTTGGTCACAACCACTTAAACATCTCTAAGAAGTTTCAAACTTTTCCTAATCTTCTTGTCTTGTTCTGAGTCCTTCAAACTCTTACGCCCTCTGCCCATTAAACCCCAGACCTCAGTACCAATTTTCTGAAGTCTTAGTCTGTTTTGTATTGCTCTAAAGGTATACCTGAGGCTGGGCTCACAGTCCTGCAGACTGTAAAGAGGCATGGCACCTGCATTTGCATCTGGTACTGGCTTTAGGCTGCTTCCATTCATGATGGAAGGTAAAAGGAAAAAAGGAAGCCAGCATGCATTGGGGAGGGGGGGCAGACACAAGGTGCCAGGTTCTTTTTAGCAACCAGCTCTCACAGAAACCGACAGAGCCAAAACTCTTAGCCAAACTTACCCTCTGTCTGAGGGGTTATTAGTCTATTTGTGAGAGATTCCCCACCATGACCCAAACATTGAGATCATATTTCAACATGAGATTTGGGAGTACAAACATTCAAACCATTGCAGGGGTAATGGGATTTTGTTAGGGGATTCCGGGAGATACCCATTTAGTCCAAGATAGGATGTGCCTCACAAGCAGGAAATATAATAGGAAGGTAATTTATACCATGTGTCCACCAAATCCTACCCCAGAATATTTGTTTGTGCCGACAATGACTTAGTTCAGGCTGCTATAACAAAGTACCAAAGACTGGGTGGCTATTGATAACAACAGAAATGTATCATGATTCTGGAGGCTGGAAGTGCAAGATTAGGGAGGGTGCCAGTATGGTCAGGCATTTCTCTTGCCCTCCCACAGTGGAATGACAGCTAGAGAGCTGTCTGGAGTCTCTTTGTAAGGGCACTAGCCCTATTCCTGAGCATGAGTTCATGCTCATGACCTGTATACCTCCTAAAGGCTCCACCTCCTTAGTACTATTACATTGGGCATTAGCAATTCAACGTATGAACGAGGGGTACAAACATTTGGTCCATAACAAACTATTGATAGCAAATCAGCAGCATCAAATGAAACCAAAAAAAGATTTCGTTTCCAAATATTAATTACATTTTTACTTTCCCCTCACTCATCCCAGATCAATCATAGATATACATTATGCTAATCCCTTTTCAAATTCTTTTTAATGTAAAAAATCATTTACTCGATTGTACTGAATATTAATGGCTTTATCTTAAATAAATGCTGAAAGAAGACAATTGGCCAGTTCATTTCATCAAGGTCTAAGGTAGCAAGGAAGACACCCCCACCAAAGAAACACGAAGGATGAATATATCTCTGGCATACTCAAGAGATTTTTCTTTCCCTCACATAGTTCAGAAGGCCCATGAACCCCTGCAGTAAAAGAAACAGAATTAAGGGTCAAGCCATCCTAGCACTCTACTTTAGCAATGGACATGCATGGTCCAGACTTAGCAAATCGGCCTCTGTGCACACGTGCTTCAATTTCTGACACAGAACGGAGACATTTTTTGTACATTAACCATGAACATTTATTGATTTGACTGATTTCAGGTTTTAAAGTCTGGTTTATTGGGGTATAATTTATACACAGAAAAATTTATGATTTTGGGGCTCGGTGCCTGTGGCTCAAGCGGCTAAGGCGCCAGCCACATACACCTAAGGTGGCTGGTTCGAATCCCCAGCCCAGGCCCGCCAAACAACAATGATGGCTGCAACCAAAAAATGGGGCCGGGCATTGTGGTGGGCGGCTGTGGTCCCAGCTACTTGGGAGGCTGAGGCAGGAGACTCGCTTGAGCCCAGAAGTTGGAGGTTGCTGTGAGCGTGATGCCATGGCACTCTACCCAGGGGGATAGCTTGAGGCTCCGTCTCAAAAAATAAAAAAAATTTATGTTTTTGGGATGTGCCAGTCTATGAACTCTGACAAACCCATACAGGTATGTAACCACCACTTAACTATAAAACACAACTTTGCTGCCATAGTCCTCACAAAGAGCATGCTATAAAAACACAGTGAGGACATTCTCTGCAACACCCTTACAATAAATACAACAAATAATTTTATGCAGCTTCATATGTAGATAGAGGGCTCCATTTAAAATAAATGGAGTCATTTCACTCCCTGCTTAAAATCTTGGAATGCCTTAGCAGTTTCACTTACCTAGAGAGTATGGACTCCATTCAGGGAGGTTATGTATTTAGATAGAAAAAGCTGTAAGGTTTTTTTTTTTCTCTCTCTTTTTTTCATTTCTGTTTTTTAAAATTTTATTTGTTTTTGAGATAGAGTCTCACTCTGCTGCCCCAGGCATCAGCCTAGCTCACAGCAACCTCAAATTCCAGGGTTCAAGCAATCCTCCTGCCTCAGCCTCCTGAGTAGCTGGGACTACAGGTATACACCACTGTGCCCGTCTAAGTTTTGCATTTTTAGTAGAGATGGGGTCTCACTCTTACTCAGGCTAGTCTCAGACTCCCGAGCTCAAGGGATCCTCCCTGCCTCAGCCTCCCATAGTGCTAAGATTACAGACAAAAGCTACAGTTTTATTTTCACTAACTTCTAATTAAAGTTTAGAATGTGCTTCTATGAATGAGGGCAAAAAACCATATTCCATACCCATTTATTTCACAATTATAGTTATCTCACAATATAGTATATTGTAAGCACAACTGCATTAGACTCACTGCTAGACCCTATTATTTAATGCCATTGAAAAAGAAGTACTTAATTACTATATCGCAAATTTGGTTTGATGTCTGTATTTCAATGCAATTGATTTCCTTTTTAATCATGCATTTTTTCTTAGTCAACTAAAAACATTACTTTTTAAAGGAGTTCATTGGTTTTGTCAGACTAACCAAACGGGTCTGTGGCACAAGATAGTAGTTCACAATCCCAGATAAACAGATAAAGACCATAATTATCAACAGCCCTTTTTAAAGTCACATATTGCCATAAACACATACGACTGAACCACTTTCAGTTTCTTTGATGGCCCATGCTCACTCTCACCTCACTCTGCTGCAACCTCTCATTCTCCAAGCCTGTCCTATCTACCCCTTCACCTGGATAACATCCCCACATCCTTCAGGCTCCTGCCAAAATGCAAATACAATCACATGCACATACACACATGCATATGCACACATGGGCAAGAATGGCTCAGCTCCCACCATGCCCTCTACACAGCATAGTCTGGACCTCCCAGTACAGTGGCTGTTGCCTTTGGTGTAAAAGCACATTGTCTGCCTTCTTCGCAGACTCTAAACAAGCTCTGTGTGTACAGGGACCAAGACAGCTTTGCTCCCAGGACTATTCCTAGGATCTAGAAGAATCTGGCCCTTAATAAACATTTGTTAATGATTTAGTGTTTGAACACATACAAAATGATTAGTTCCCTCTTTTTTTGCTCTGTGGTCTATCTGCAAAACAAATTGACAATTTTTTTATGATGCTTCCAAACTCTAAAATCATGAAACAATCCCCAATATTATATTTCACCCTGATTAACCCAAACGCACTTGTTTTTGAGCACACCACATAGGACCTCCTCTCCACCTCACCTCACCCTTAACTTAT